CTCGCGTTTTTTTCATTGACTTATCGAGCCCCACTGGAAATCATTAAATAACTTATTATGAGAAAATTATACAAGATTCGTGTTCTTCTCGAACACCGACCGTCAAGAAAAAAAAACAACTTATTTTTGACTTGTGGCTGAACGTACTGTGCAGATAACAAAATCACGTAAAAACCGTTGTGGTCGTTAGACCTGGCGTAAAATCGTACGCGTCGTAATGACGAGAAAACACGAAAATGAACATGTCCTATTTTTTAAAAATATTGTATTAGAGACCGATATTCAATATCTCCCGTTCGTATTCTATAATATTGTATTGAACCGGCGATTGGGGGGGAGCGGTTTATCCCAGCACACAGCCTCCCCTTAAATACGTCCGCGGTATTGTGTTGCGTACTCTACGATATTAGATAATAATGTACGCGTGTACATTATGCCCGTACGGCGGCGGTGGCGAGTATAATATCCCCGCGGCCTAACACCGCCGCGAGAACCGTCCGCCTGCCGGCCGCCTGCACACCCGCGCGTAATTCGTACAAATGACGCGGCCGTGCGGGAGGGCAAATTAGATTCCACGCGCGCACATCCCCGGACGGTCTGTACCACGCACACGACGGCGTCTAATTCAATAACACGACTACGCCTCCTCCTCCTCCTCATCCTCGTTCTCCTCCGTTGTTCTCCTCGTTCTCCGTCGACGCCTTTCGCTCGGCCACCCGGTACCGTCAGCCCTCGGCGGCGGTAACATGTGCGAATCGGTCCTCGGCCTTCTGGCCACGTCGTTAGCACCGCTATTATATAATACGGTCCACCACCGTCGCCGCCACGAAGAGTGCACTACTATATTACTATGCCTATATTATTATAGTTAGTATAATTATCGTAAAGTATTATAAGAAAAAGGATTTAATGACATAAAAAATGTATTAAAACGTACAAAAGAGAAAATATAAAAATGCTTTAATGACTTAAAAAGTAATCAACGTCTCTTCTATACAAAAAACTATAGTACGGTATGCTTTTATAAATGGGAGATTGTCTGTAAAGCTTTTTTAGTAGAACATGCAAGTATTTGTAATTCTGTACGCTGTAAATCGAATCACAACACAAAAAACTCCATTAATAATCAAAAAGTATTCTTAAAAATGAAAAAAATTCAAAAATAATGACTTATAATATATAGAAAAAAAAAATGAATCTGGGGAAGAAATATGATTTAGAAACACTACTGCTGGAAGTGACAGTTTTAGAGTGTCCGAATTCTATATTTCTGAGACAGTTAAGGAACAATAGCGGAGGTAGCTAAAAACTCGTATTGAATTGTAAAGCCAAAGAAAAAAAAAATTGATGCTATGCTATTAGTTGTTTGTCGTAAATAATGATTATATTTAATAATATTGAAACATGAGTAAGTAGTATTTAGCACCCTCAACAAATCCTTGAAATCACTACAACCTATAAAATCATTTTTCGCGACGAGAGATTTAAATAAAAATACTATTATTATTAAAATGTTTTTTTTTTTTTTCATATTTACCGTCTTGTCTTAAACTATATTTGCTCATAATATTTATATTTTAGGCGGAATGGTGGCTGGTGAAATTTTAAATGATGGATCGGCTATTCCTTATAGTTACATAACTGGAGTCGAGTAAGTGCATATAGTGTTTAATAATATGAATCCTACGCACGTATTGACAGTATACGTATTGATTTTAGTTTCGGTATTTTTTTTTCTATCCAACAACTTTTTTACTTCTAGACGTTTCACTATCAGCCCGTCCGTCCGCCGAGGGTCCCGAACGTCCGAAGTGTTAACAATGCAATCAGAATTCCATTCAAGAACGAACTGCCTCGATGACGAATGTATCACATGAGTTTGCGACGTCGGTTTTCCTTTTCCCCTTCTCCACGTAAGTAATATAATTGTATTCGTATCAAACCAAAATTTCTCATCGAACCTATCCAATAATCATATAATTATTTAATTTATACGCCGGGGTACTTTTTGACGCATAATCAATTTAATGTGTTCAGCGTCATTATTTTACTGTACCGATGTGTATGTATACATAGGTACATGTTTTCAAAATAATAATTACACAATTCTTTAGTCAGTTTTTGTAGTAAACTACACAATAGAATACAATTTTAAAAATAGATAAGCATACTTCGCACAGTGGGTGGGCCAATGTTATAAGTAAAAAGTTAAAAAGGTAAGATACAGAAGGGAATTTAATTTATATCTGCATATAATAATAAACTATTGTTAATAAAAATCAATTTGAAACAAAGTTAAACTTTTCTACATACATTTTGTACGTACATTTTCCCGTTTTCTCAATTAATATGAAAATCACTTAGAAAATCGAAAAATAACCATGATAAAATTTGCTTTTAAGAAAGGTACTTACTCAAAAAATGAAGCAAGATTTCTATTATAAAAGTTGTTTAGAGTAAAAAAAAAGATGTTCTAGGATAATGGGATAGGGTGCAGCCACTGTTATAGATAATTTAATGTATACCTATAAGCAACAATAAACTATTGCTAACGAAAAAACGATTCTAACCGCAGTTCAGTTAATAGTAGTGCTTTGTAAAAAATGTATATGTCATATTATGGTAAAATAATTAAATAAGCATTATATATTTTTTTTAATAATATTTGTTTAATATTTTACCGATTTTCACGTTTTTCCTGCGTTTTTCCCGTTTTTTCATATTTTCTGGGAAAATCGACAAATTACTTCTTCAAAGTACCTATTTAGTAAGATTTCCTTTATAAAAAATGTTATTATTTTAAATCAAAGTAAATTTGCTGGTAGAAAAGTTGTCTACAGAAAAAAAATCATAATATTTTACTTATGTATTTTGTACATTTTTTAGTTTTTTACGATTTTTCTCATTTATTGAGAAAATTCATGGGAAAATCAAAAAATTACCTTCTCAAGTTACCATGGAGATAAAATTTCCTTTTAGAAAATAAGCTACACTTGATATATTGGAGCAAAATTTTTGGTAGAAAAGTTTGCACAACAAATCGAGGGGTATTTTGCGATTAAAATAGTCCGAGCGAGTAATGGATTGAGTCTCTAGATAAACCCAAAATGCATTTGTTTTATCCTTGTTTTGGTAAAAGTGACAAAAAATGAAAAACATTTTTTTTTTTTGAAATATGGGTTCGAACCCACACACCCTAAGATGAAAATAGATATGTATACACATTCAGCTGCTACAAACATCATTAGAGAAGACAATATTTAGTTATTTAACATGGCATATAATATCCACATAATATCAAAACTTTAAAAAGCTATAATTTCGAAACTTAGCTCAGACAATTCTGACTTCACCATCGTTCTTAAATCGGCAGTATACATATAAAAAAAAAAAAAATTGAAAAATTAGATTTGTTCCACATAATTTTTTATTCAACAATTTTCGTCAAAATTTGATAGTAAAATTCCTTTATAAAAAAAAAATATACTAAATTAAATAAGAGTTTTCTTTTTTTGACCACAAGGTGAGACTCTTAATGAACCTCCTGTTAAATTTTCAAGCGCTTCTGTTAAGTCTAATAATATGACCACGAGTACCTACCGGATAATAATTACGTACAATACTCGCAAAATTAAAGTGTCTATAAATAGTTTAAAAAGTCATATAAATGTTTCAAAAATTTTACCACGTCTAGAAGAGGCAAATATAAATTTTATGTCACTAGAGTCACGAGAGTCACTAGATACGAATATTTTCAACTAAATTACAACAAATAACAAAGATGAAAAATAATAAAATCATTATATTCGTGAATTTCCCGTTTTTTTTTTTACGTTTTATCCCGGTTTTTCCTTTATATTATAAAAACTGCACTGAAAATTAAAAAATTATTTCCTAAAAGTACCATCTGGACAATATATGTTTTTAGAAATGGTGCCGTGCGTAAATATCTGATCAAAATTTCTGGTAGTATTTGTGTTCACAGTATAAAAAATAAATAAACATCATTGTAAAACCAATACGCTCCAAGTATAAAATACCTTGTGTTATGACTTATTAACGTCGATAATTTTTGTTGAGTTCTTAGCATTTGTTTTACGGACGCAATTTATTGTATTTCTCGTAATCATGTTGAAAAATCGATTATGGTCCGATGGTTGAAATTAATACGATTTATTTTATAGAAATTTCCCCGAGCGATCACTATTGTGAATTTCAGTTATATTATAGAGGTTTTAAAGTTATGGGATGATTATTTGAGAAAGTCTATTTGTGTACAATCCGAAATACTTAATTTCAAACATAGTAACTAATCCTTAGTTTTACTCCGATGTTTTGTGTTATAGTATATAACTTTAATTAATATATTAACAATTGTATTTTCGGTAATAATAGTATAGTGTTTTTGAAAATGAATAGGGTATCGAACTCGATTTTGAAGATTGTATTCTCAAAATTACATTAATATCTGAATATAATAATCAATGCAATGTCGAAAGAATTTCGTGAAAATGAAAACTAAAATTTAAAACAACTTGAGTAATTAACAAGTACACAAATGTTTTCAATACATATTACACACGTGTATTTAAATAATGTTTGCAGAAATTAAAACAAAGCGGTTGTAAAATCACTAAAATGACGCCAAATTTCTTGACGAAAGTATCAAGTCATTCGACTTTTTACCGTACATGCCTATGTTGAGTACTGCAGGGTCCATTCTATAGAAAATCACGTCACGTTTAAAATTCCATTTGTAAAGACCGTAACCGAGAGAATTATGTACCTATGTATTATATACACGCGAGAAGCGTTCCGGAAGAGTATAGACGCACGTGTTTTCTTCAATACCTTTAAATATTATAGACATGGACATTATATTACTCTATTTGTAAATCAGGAGGCACGTGGGAGTACTGAAGAAGGCGTCTGAATGGAGATCTTCAGTGCTGGTATACGACGAAAAGCTGATTAAATTATTTATTACATAATGCAATGATTCGGGTGATTATGAACTATTCTTCATTGCCGTATCATTATTATTATTATTGTTGATGTATTTTTATCGGTGAATAATGCGTGGGGTCGTCCAGAAAGACCGAAAAAGCCTGTACGGTAATAATTTACATAAGACGGGAAAATCGGATTTGGGAAAATTATATGTAAATAACTTGCAATGTGTCCGACAATCCCATGACCGAAGGCGAAGCCGATAAATAAATAATATAAAACGGATCGGACCCACCGAGTAAGAGTGTTCTACAAGTTCAGCAGTCCGGATGCATCAATGGTGTATTTAAATTTAGGGGTTGGTTTTTTCTTTGTCAAATAAACCAAAAAAATAAATAGAAATGTCATCCAAAAGAACCCGTTTTCTTTAATATTGGGTGAACATTTTGATGAATTGTAATTATTTCGTGGTGGTAAATTTTGAGACCTTAAAAAAGAAGTGTTGACGTAGTTATCTCAAGTTGCTACATGCAATATGAATTGCGTTATCGCATGCAGCCTTTGTCAGCAGCGAAAAATGAGACGAAAAACGGGTGCGTTATGATTGCGTTCGGATTTATTTCATTATTACGATTGCGTACATTCTACTTACCCAAATTTAGTGCAAAGTTGCCTTACATGTTCACAAGCGTGAAATTCGCGAACATGTTGTGAAATAACTTATTTTAGAAAAAACCTTTGATTAACTAAACTTTAAGGTACTTAAGTTGATAATCGTAATTACGACTATTATTCCAACATTAAAGTTAAGCAAAAAAAAAATAAATAATAACCACATGAAATATAACTATACACTATACACTTAATTTAAAATAGATGATAATGTATTAAACTTATTATCAGGGACTGGTTATCGATACCAAGGTTTTAGATTATAATTTATTCGTTTATTAATTTATAATAGTTTTTAATCGACTATACTATTAGTTTTAATTCAAAATTATGTTATTATTATTATAATTATTTTAAATTTTTTATAACTTAATATGTGTACAGATTCCAAAAATATTTATAATTTGTACTCGTACTGTATTATAAATGATTATATATTGTTTTTAATTGACTAAACATTATTGTATTATTATTTATTTTATTTATTTATTTATTATATAGTATCTGATAAAATATAACTTAACATTATTTTTTATTAATTCATACACGATTTTTACTTAACAGATAATTTACTATATTTACTAACCATTCGTGTTCGTATGTTATACGTTCACATAACAATTGTATACATATAGCAATCGTACGTAATCGTATATTACCGCAAAAAAAAAAAAAAAAAAAGTTTGGATATTAATGACTCTGATTATAACATTTATGCACACTTTTGTATAATGTACTTGTAGAACATTTTATGGTACCAACATTTATAAGCATTGTTTGAGCATTGGATTTCGGACCCAGTTATATCGCCACGACCGATCCACGATCAGACATTTTGATCCCGTTCCTACCGATAGGGTCCCTCCATTACAGCTTTATCTTAACCCGTCGTTTTTCATCTTTAAGCTTATCTTAAGATTTAAGTTTACACTTAGTCGTGGAAGTCTAGTGGCGAAACGACATATTTACAAATATTACATACATAACTATATATATATCTTTAGACTTAAGGAAGAAGGTCTCAAGTTAATTGTTGTCTTTGTTCATTACAATTTGGTCTTATGTAATTTTTTTGGTCTGAATTGCAAGAGTATATGGATTTTCAAAATTCGATTAGCTTGTACCGAAAACTATAAACGATCGACTTAAGTCTTTCTTCCCTGAGAACAAATGTATAACCCAGTGCCCCAATAGGTCATTCGAAATAATCGGTATCGACACTCGAACAGAGTGTTAAAAAATATAACAAATACCGTTTACAGTCCAGACGACTCGGGCCCTCGGAATATATATTATCCGAACGGGGTAGGTATATATTTCGTAAATCGTAAAGGGCGTGCGGTTTTTATTTTCCGTTTATTTACATTCCGTTTTCACTTTGTCTCGGCCGTTTAACATCGCGCACGACCGGAAGCGTTTTAACGGCGAGCGGCTGGCGGCCGGTGATGGCTGCAGGCTAAAGGATCGGCGCAGCGCGGAGCAACTCGGAGGAGTTTGCCAGCCAGCCGAAATTAGGGCTTCCGCGGATTAATGCCGGGCGAGCCGGGGACACGAAAGTACGCGCTAAGTATACACGACGACGAAATGTTTAAAGACACTTAAGCCCAACGAATGGCGTATAAATATTCATATAGGTGCGGGTCGGCGGCACACGGGATAGATAGGGGGACGGCGAAGAAAGAGAGACAAAAGCCTGGCGGAAGGATTAGAACCCATCAGCATTTTCACTCGTATATACCCATATATATATTTATATATTATTATATATACTCCATCACTTTTATCTCTATCTCTCTCTCTCTCTCGCTCACTCGCCCTCTTTCTCTCTTTCCGCATATACACGACGAGCAATCCTCCGTCGTTGTCGTCGCCGTCGTCGTCGTCGTCCCTTCTCTCGAACTCGGCTCATCATACCTATACTCCTGGTCTCCTTTCTCTTCCGGCCCGCGTTTTAATCGCTCAAAACCCCGCTGCGATGGCTGATAAATCGCGTGCCACGTAACCCTTTGCCCGCCCGCCACCGCTTTTAGGGTTTACCCTGAGAACACCACCTCTGTGTGTATAGATATATAGGGGCAAAATAATTATCGTCTGGACTTATATATATAGAAGATTATATAACCGTGACAAAAGGGTTTCGTTAAAGAAACAACATCAGGAAAGATTGCAGCGTTAATACTCTTTTTTCGCTCCCTCATCGTGGATGCAAATCTAAAAACAAAAAAAAAAAAATAAACGAAAACAAAAATACGCCAATAATTTATTCGAGACTTAAGTGCCAGGTTGTGAAAAAAAAAAAAACAACACAAATCCGAACATTAATCAAAGCACGGTCGAGTTGGCAAAAACGAATGAAATACAAAATATTCGACAACGGCGAATGATTCCGAATTTTAATTTTTTCCACGATAGTGATTCTGTCGAACTGATTTTTTTTTTCGTATAATCTCATTTGAAAACTCACCGACTACACGAATTTACGAGTTTTCAGTATTTGCGACTCGTGACAATTTTTGCGTTTGGGCGTGTTTTGTTGTGAAATAATAGTGAACAACGAGAACTAAATTCATATTAGTATACCTGATTTATTACAAATTATCATTACTCAATTAATTATTTTAAAAACTCTGCAAAAAAGTTTTCAAAATAAATATAAAAATTACATGTTGTATCTTAATATACACAGTGCATTTCACTCAAACGATAACACGAAATATATTTTTGTTCAGTTACCTCGGATTGAAATGTTGTTTTCAAGAGAAGATGGGAAATACTGAAATACACATTTTGTAGGGATTTTCAAATTTTTCACCCTTTCAATGTGTACAAGCACAATAAAATTTGCATTTTTTTTTTAATGGAAACACCGATTTCCAGTAATTGATTTGGATAAACCTTTTTTTTTTTTTTTTTACAGAAATGCAAGTTTTATTGCGCATACGCACACTAAAAGGTTAAGAAATTTGAAAATACATGCAAAATGTGTATTTCAGTATTTCCTACCTTCTCTTGAAAACCCCATTTTAATCCGAAAGTAACTGGACAAAAATATAGTTCGCGTTACCATTTGAGTGAAATGCACTGTATACTAAATTTTCTATTTCGGTGTTTATCGTAACAACAGTAAACTCTGTATTTTTTGATAATTCACGTATTTAATAATTTTGCAGTACCTATTCAAGTATGTTGTATTTTCTGAATAATTACGAACCATAGAAAAAAAAAAACTAATTAAAAATTATACCCACTTAAGAATATAATATATTATTATTTAGTTTAACAAAGAAATGAAAGTAGTAACAATAATTCACAATCGTACATATAATTAAAAAGCTACATATTTTATTTTTCAGTTAATTAAACGAAAATGTTTAGTGGTTTTTTTAACTCGTTATAATGTAAGTACAAAGTCAGTTCTTTAAACAATTTGCATTTGTTTTTTAAATAAAACATGTTACATTAATAAATTGTGCGCGTGTTTCAGTATACAATACGGTAAGAATAAAATATTTATTTTGTTCATATGAAATACAAACGGCTGTAGGTAGGTTGCAACCCAAGTAATCTATATTTCTAGAGACTATTATTGCTGATTTAGTTATCATATTATGTTCATAATAATTATTGAAGTTTGATACCGGAATCTCATCTAAAATGAAGGGTCTAAAATTCTCGACTGTAGATTTTATTTAAAGCAACGTTATTGGAAGAAAATCCAACGTTTAAGAGTCAAATATATACTATTAAACCTAACAGGTTTATCTAATAATTATTATATGGAATATTTTCTTAGATTGGCATTTTTGGATTCCGACGTCATCGACTACTACACACAAAATAGCATGACATGACTTTATGGTAATGCAGTCAAAAAATGATCGGATGGGAAAATTCATCGACTATATTTTTTCGAAAATTAAATTTCACCTAACACTATGGTCCCTCAAAATGTGTGCATAGTTTATGATCAGCTGCAACCATACCATTACAGTTGTAAAAGTTTTCACTCAAAATAAAACAGTTCGTTCTACACTAGCCATCCTAACATTTGTTACTTCGTTGATGTGTTACATATAGTTCAATCTGAGACTTTAAATGTTGAAGTGAAGGACTAAGAAAATGTGTGAAAAAGAAGGGTTAATTTGAGAAAAAATCACGGTGTTAGAACAAAAATAAATTGGGCAGTTTAATTTCGATAAATCTTTAAGTTTTTGCCAAACTAATACGAATAAACCACTCAAAGGAAAAAAATGTCAGTAATTATAATACTAAAAAACCAAAAAAAAAAAAAAAAAAAAAACATTACACCGATTAACCTAATCATCAATAAAAATATAATTTAACTATAAAAAAATATTTGGAAGACGACTCAGCCGACCTCCTCCCCAGGTAACGCTAATAGACCGATATAAATTGGTAATTGTCATGCAATTATTGCCGCAATTAGTACGTCATTCTCATAAACCTTGACCGCGATTCGAAAATGATTTAAGGATTGGTGACAATTTCAACAAATTCAACCACAAAATGATAATCACTATAACTATTTTTTAAATTCTTGATCGAGTTGAATACAGATGACGTAAAGTATATTAAAACACTAATATTATATTATTATAACTGAATTATGTCGACTGGAACGAATACATTAGTACCACGGGCAATAAAGTGCGGCGCGAACGTCCGATTTTAATTGTAACGCATTCAACAAGTGTCGAAGGGAAGTGTAATAATTTCGTATAACTTTTGTTCAAAATAATATCATATACCAGACCTTGAGTATTATTGAATTCGTTATAACGTAATTTTCGTTTTTTTTTTCATTTAATGATCGGTTTAAACGAAGTATCATTGGGTACCATGCAAAATCATAACGAATAAATATTTCAAAAATATTAAAGAATTAAAAAGTTAATATCCGCAATTAAACTCGGTTACGAAACTTCAATATTTTTCGTATAACAGTTCGTTGCTTGCGCGCAAAACTAGTGTTATTTCAAAATCACCAGACGATAACG